TGGTGTTTGGGAATGATGTATTTTCACTTAGGGCACCATAAGCAAGTTGGAAGTGATATTTGAAGTCATTCACCATCGTTCTTCTTATAGCTTTGGTCTTCTTGTGATTTTTTGTTGATAACGAGATTTTTCATCTTGTTTTTTTGTTGTTTAAGACCCTATCATTTAGCGTCGCGATGGAGATCGAAGGGGCTGTGAAATTTAAAATTCGGTGCTTTCTGTCGAGCAATTTCACGAGCACCTGGTGAATTTCAGATTTGTGAACTTCTAATTCTAAAGTTTTTTATACATAAAAGCACTGCAATTTGTTGTTTATTCCTTGAAAGATAAAACAAGGAGAAGAAGTGTTGAAGATGGTGATCCTTCTGTACATGAGGATTAAAGACAGAAGGTTGATTTCCGGTGTAAAGATATGCTTTTAGGTAGAGTTGGTGCTGGTTCATAATTCCTTTTGCCATATGTTAATTTTTTTTTTTTCAGAAACTAACTCATGGTAAATATATTTCTTTATATGTCCTTTTGCAATGGCAGATGATGGTATATTATCTGAGGCAAACTGGCTTCTTGATTTGAACCTTATGCCTAATTCGAATTCAACAACTCGAGCTATTGGCTATAGACAAGTAAACTTCTAAATTCTCCATCATATTAAATTAAATATCGCTTTCCATTTGTGTGTGTGTTCTATTTTGTCTAAGTATGATTTTTGTGTGAACTCTTCTAACATAGAGTTATAGAATGCAAAAGTTTTGATGTGTTTGTTGTCAATATATATCCTTTTAGTCTACGAATGTTCTACTAATGTCCAGAGAACAAGGTGGCTGGAGTTATGCTCAAGGTTTCTGCCATTTACTGTCTGAATTTTTCAAAATGCATCTTGGTAACTATTAAATTAAGAGAGAAATGGTAAAAGGAATTCTAACTTAAAGGTTAAGTTACATTAAATTTATCTAAAAAAACGCTAGATGTCTCTTAGTTGTCTAATGGTTTATCTTCTGCTAATTCATCATTAAGCCCATCTTCTGGGAACATTTTTTATACTTTGTCCTGGTTTAAGATGTCCATGTAACCCATACACACACTCTTCATGTACCCCTCAGAATCAGATCCTTGTTCCTCCGAAAAGAAGTTTTTTTTTTTTCGTTTTTCTTCCTTCGATTATTATTTGATGTTGCTGCATTAATCTCACCTATCACATTCCTGCAAGTCTTCCCATGTTTTGTGGCTACCTAATTTCAATATATGTTGGGACCTAGGTACTGCCTCAGAGCATGTTCTAAAGAATTTCTTGTTTCTTGCTGCAAACTTTATTTTATTTTATTTATTATTATTATTATTATTATTATTATTATTATTATTATTATTTTTATCCNGTATGAGACTAAAGAAAGCTATTTATGTTCACAACAATTTGAGGCTAGGAAAAGCAAGAGGAAAAAAAAAAAATATGAGGTACTGCATGACTGCATGAGCATGTAATCTCTTTCATGACTTGCTTTACTTCTCTGTTTCTTGATTATATTGAAGCTTTTGAATACAATCTCTATACGCTTTTTTGTGTCGTCTTAGCCAGTCTTTCTAATTTTTTATTTTACACCCATACACTTTAACCAGTGAGTTTTATTTCCACCTCTAAAATGGAGAATGGATATGGTGCTTTGCATTTGAGAGGATCTGTAGTGTAGAGCAGCTGCAAAGTGCATACGCGAAGGCATAAATATACCGAGATCCAGTGCTAATGCCAGCGATGCCTTCTTTTATTTTTTTCTGTTTTTTTGATGTCTTAGTCTAATTTCAAGTTTTCTAAATACTTTGGCATTATTAGTTTTTTATGAATATTATACATTAGTATATCTGTTAATAAACATGGGGTCGGGTTAAATAACAAATATGTCCTGCTTTGGTGTCTTAACTCTTAATGTTGCCTTTTTATGTTAGTGCGNATTTTACCTTTTTCCTTTGCTTTTAAGTTATTTAAATTTTTTTATATATGTTCATTCCCAGTAAACAGTAAGCATTCTATTTACTTTGATGTTCTTATCCTCCTGATATTCTCTAGCCTGTCCATTTATTTGGGAAATGATTTTATATTTTCATTATTTAAAATATCTTAAAATAATGTACTATTTATTTTCATCGAATCATCATCGAATTAAAGTAAATTTTCTTTCTTACGAATACATTGATGAGAAGTGTGAATAAAGTGGCATAGATGGTGCATGTAAGTTAATTTGTATGATGATTTACAGAATTTAGTTACACTGCAAAAAAAATTGTTATATTTCAGCAGAAAATTCTACGGTAATGTATTTTAATAGAGATTTCAACGGATATTTAAATGGTATAGCTTCCATTGGAATAATTCCAACTAAAGTTCCAATGAAAATATTCCTTTGGAATGAGTTTCCCGTTGGAATTTTAGATGAAATTTGATGATTCCAACGGCTATTTTTCCAACAGTTTTTTGTCGTAGGAATTTCCATTGAAATTTTTGTTTTTCATTCCCGTTGGAAAATCTACCGTTAGAACCGTCAAAATCCAACAAAAATTTCAATGGAAAACTCATTCTAACGGAATATTTTTATTGGAATTCCGTTAGAATCTATTGGAAAATTCCAACAGAAATAATAGCATTGAAATATACGTTGGAATTGTCGTTGGAATTCCGTTGTAATATATTTTCATTGGAATTTTTTATTAGAATTTCATCATTTTCCTGTGGTGACAACCGCCAGACAATACTTCATCAAATTTTTATTATGAAAATAGTTATTAATTTCCATGATACAGAGATGAATAATTCATCTTATTTTTAATGTGTGTCCATTTACAACGATATCATATAACTCTTTCCATTGAAAAATGATTTTGTCACGAAGAGTTGGAGCAAAATGCCAAGAACCTGCACACAGATTTGCAACCAAGCTTTGCAGGCTCCCAACCGACGTTATGCCACTTCCCGGACCACCTCATTTGCCTTATATATAGATGGAGGATTTATTTATTTATTTATTTATTTTATTTTTACTTTGTAAATTAGACCACCTCATATGCTTTATATATAGATGGAAGATGTATTTATTTATTTATTTACTTTGTAAATTAGTTCGATTGATGATTGTTGGATATTTTATTATGTTGTTGGACTCCTGACTTTATCTATTGATATCCAATAATTTCAATCCGTAGTCTTATGAGACGAGCAAATATGTGGATTAGATTTAACACATTTTAAACTATAATTTTTTTAGGCGACAAAAAAATAATAAATATTCGTGAATTATCGACTAAATTCGGGTTGGCTATAGGTGCACAGCCGAAAACCCACTAAGTTATTATATTTCCAAATGAAATCGAGATAGGAAAAAAAAATAAGAAAAAAAGGCAGTAAAGTTGATATCTATTATTATATAATAGAAATAGGGATTTACTTTAAATAGAAAGTAAAATTCCACCTAAAGTTTTGAATTTTATTACAGTTGGTAACTTTTTTGAAATTTTTTAAAAAATTGGCGGTTGGTTTGTAGTTTGAATTTCAAATTCATTCAAACATTTAAAGAAAAATATCATAAGTAAATTTTTTGGATACATTATATTTTATCTTAACTTACACATAATCACATTTACTAACAAACATTAAATTTACTTATATATTTAAATTAATTAGATCAATAAATAGTTTTAGTATACATTAAATATATATCATTATATAAAAAAAGAATATTACTTCTATAAGTGTTATAAATAATAATGATATTATATGACAATAAATTTTTGAATAAAATAATATTTGAGTATTATGATAAACTAAAATGTGTAAAGTTGTTATTTTGTCTGTATTAAAAAATAAATATATATGTTCAAAAATTATTTATAATTGATATAAATGGGTAGTGTTGTTAAATTAAACGAGCCTGACTCGGCTCGGCTCGTTAAGGCTCAAGTTCAGTTCGAGTTCAAGGCCTTAACGAGCTAAGCTTGAGCTCATTTAAAGCTCGATTGATTAATGATCGGCTCGATAAGGTTCGAAAATAGAATTTTTATATAACTTTTGATAGGTCGGCTCGAACTTTGGCTCGTCTATTTAACGAACCGAGCTCTGCTCGGCTTGTACATCTCAATAAACGGGTCAGCGGACTAATATATTGTTAAAATAAAATTTTGATAAAATATTGCGTGCATTGCACGGGATTCTCACTAGTATACTTGCGAGAAAGACGAGAAAATTCAAGTTCATCAAAAATTCGACTGTAACAATTGGTAATAATAAATAAATGTATTACTATGTCAATAATTGTTGCACACGGTTTAATAAACCATATTCAATATATTTTATTTTATTTTTTGTTTTTAAATATCTAAAAATAATATTTGCATATGGTATGATTTTAATTGATTTTATTGAAATCTCTGCATTTTTTTGGGTGATTTTCTTCTATTAGATGCACACACATTTGTCGGATCGAAGCCGCCATATTTCTTGAGCAGATTTTGGAGAGCAGACATGAGATCATGCACATAGGGATTCAGATTGAGATTCATCCGAAAATCATTCGGCCTCAATATTTTTTTTTTTATTTTTTTTATTTTAAGAGTAATGTGTATTTTTTCTTTTTTAACCAACACCCAATAGGGTGGGGTTAAAGTCGAACCCCCAACCTGTATATAAAATGCCCTAAATGGGTCGAAAAGTCACAAAGCTACAAGTCTAATGTCTGATATACATCCAGTCAAACGAAAAATAAATAAATAAAAAACAACAAAGAAAAGAAAAAGTATAGAGAAAAATTAACAACTGCAGCGATAAATATGAAAATAACAGGTCATGTTCTGGGGTAAAGTCCGGGCTGCGCCAAAAGGTAAGTCCAGCTACACAAATCTGAATGAGGGGTATCCCATCTGGTCCATCCGTATGAGAGTGCGGAGGCGGATAGGAATATCGTCAGGATAAAGAATGCGTCTGTACGCGGTGGAGGACCCGATGCCAGCGAGGAAGTCAGCTGGCCAGTTCCCCTCGCGGAAGATGTGCGAGATCCGGGAGTGAATCGTCTGGAGAGTGGCTCTGATGCGCATGAGAGGGTGCTGGATCTGCCACGTGCCCTAATGTACAGATGACAAAAGAGTGATGACAGCGGCCGCGTTCAACTCTATCCAAATGTGAGAGGAGATCGAGGCGGCAATCTGCAGACCAATCTGAAGTGCCTGAACCTCCACGTCATAGCTCAAAGAGGCCCGAAGAGGGGTATGAAACGCAGCAATAAGGCGCCGCTATGATCCTTAATCCGGCCCCCACCTCCTGCAACTCCAGTAAGTGGATCAGAGGCTCCATCAGTGTTTAGCTTAACCCAAGGCGACTCGGGTTTCAGCCAAACAACAGTTTTGGGACGTGGATGTTGGACAGGCACCAGCGGAGGTGGTGCAAGGCGGTGAGGTGGCGTGCAACCTGTCCAGTCTCTTTGAGTGAGTCTGCCCAAAGCGGTGAGGAGGGAGAGATGTCAGTCAACCTGCAAAATAATATGAGAAGACAAAAAAGGGTTATCCGTATGCTTCACGTTATTCCTTTCTGTCCAGGTGGCCCAAAGGATCAGACAAGGAATAAGGAAGCTCACGTGTCTACTGTGTGTGCGGTGTTTGAAAAAACTCAGAAGCTCAAAGAATGTATCTGTGGAGGGTAGGGAGATATGAGTGTAACTGGTATAATGCTCCCACGCTCTCCTCACAGTCTCGCTCTCTAAAAACAGGTGGGTAAAGGTCTTCGTCTGAAAATCGCCAGTCTCGGCACAACAGTAGCAACGCGAGGGGAAGGAGAACCCTCTCGTCTGCATCACAGTGTCAATCGGTTGGCGGCGCAAAAGGAGGCGCCAAAAGAAACCAAAGATGGTAGGGATAAGTAGGTCGGACCAGATGGCCCCGAAGAGAAGGTTAGGCCGGTCACCCTGCCGTACTTCCCCCCAAGCCGAGGTCGTAGAGAATGCACCCGAAGATGTAAGCCTCCACCTCATACCGTCCAAACCGTCCTCCGAGATGGGGATCTGCTGGATCTCATCTATCACCTGATCACTAAAGCCCGCTCCAATACCCAGAATCCTCTCTAGCCTATCCCTATCTCATCTCCCATCCGTCCACAGGTCCTTCACCTGTAGAAAGGGAAGGTGAGTGACCTGTCTAGTGCTCGAAAGACCGAACCACCACTCATCCCAAAAGCTAACCTCCCCATCCCCCAGAGACCAAAAAATGTGCTCCTGAGCACGTCTACCAACCATGGTGAGCCGCCTCCACTGTCTGCTATCG